CAGAAAATTATAAAAAAAGGCCAAGATTATGCGTCAAAATCCAAAAAACCTTATAAACCAAATTATAAAAAATCTAAGAGAAAATCAAAAGACATTATTATTTGTCATAAATGTGGGCGTAATGGTCACACAGCTAATAATTGTTATGCTAAGACAAAAATAAATGAGTTAAATGTTTCTGATGATTTAAAAGAACAAATAAGAAAAATTATTTTAAATACTGATTCAGATTCCGATCAAAGTATTTCTGATTTTCAAACAAATGATTTAAATATTCTCGAAAATACTACTTCAAGTTCAGAAGATTCTGATGTTTGCGAATGTATTGGTAAATGTCATTGTAAAAATTTAATCAATGTAATTACTAGTAGTTCTATTAACGTTCTTTCACAAGATGATAAAGATCTTTTAAACTCTCTTGATTCTATTAAAGATAAAAATATCCAAGAATTATTAATAAAGCAGATGCTTAATAAAACTAATAACATAACTCCTGATAATAATGAAAATTTTAATTTAAAAAATATATATGAAAGATTTACTGAAGCAAAGCCAATCTCTATGCAAGAACTTCAAGAAGAATTAAAAAGTAAAACAAGAGATAAAAGAAATAAAAAATAAATTTTAATTTTAGAAAAAGAAAAACCTTCTATTTTTAAAACAAAAATATAGAAATTAATAAAGAAGAAGAAAATAAAACTGAAAATGTAACTATTGGAAAAATTATAAATAATCAAGTTTCTCAAAAATGGAACACTCAAATTACTTTAGTCAAGGATAATTTTAAAATCAACCTAACTGTTTTAATTGATAGTGGTGCTGATATGAATTGTATTCAAGAAGGAATTTTTCCTACACAATTCTATGAAAAACTGCATCTAGACTTACTGGTGCCGGAGGTACAAAATTAATTGTAAATTATAAAGTTCCGATGTTATATTTGTAATAACCAAGATTACTGTTATAAAACTCATCTAATTTTAGTAAAAGATCTATCTTCCCCTTTAATTCTAGGAACACCTTTTATTACAAAACTATATCCTTTTATGGTTCATGATGATGGTATAAGAACCAATGTTTTTGGAAAAGAAATTATATTTAAATTTTGTGAACCTCCTCTATATTCAACCATTAATGTCCTTAATTATAAAACACAACAAGCTAAATATCTTATTAACGAAATAAATAATGTTCGAATAACTAATCAATTAAATGACAATAATATTCAAAATAAAATAATAGGTTTAAAATTAAAATTTGAAAAAAATGTCTGTTCTAATATTCCTAATGCCTTTTGGAATAGAAAACAACATATTGTAAAATTACCGTATATAAAAATTTTTGATGAAAAGGATATTCCTTCAAAATCTAAAGCCATTCACATGAATAGTGAACTAGAAAGTCATTGTAAAAATGAAATTCAAGATTTAATAAATAAAAAACTTATAAGACATTCTAAATCACCATGGTCTTGTTCAGCATTTTATGTTATGAATGCCGCAGAATTAGAAAGAGGATCACCATGACTAGTTATCAATTATAAACCTTTAAACAAAGTTTTAGAATAGATTCGTTATCCTATTCCTAATAAACGAGACTTGCTAAAAAAAACTTTATGATTCAAATATATTTTCAAAGTTTGATATGAAATCAGGATTTTGGCAAATACAACTTCATGAGGAAGATAAATACAAAATTGGTTTTAATGTTCCCTTCGGGCATTTTGAATGGAATGTAATGCCTTTTGGATTAAAAAATGCCCCTTCTGAATTCCAAAATATTATGAATGATATCATAATTCCTATAAGTAGTTTTGCTATTGCTTATATTGACCATGTCCTAATTTTTTTCAAAATCAATTGATCAATATTTCAAACATTTGAATCAATTTTATGATTTAATTTATCAAAATGGTTTAGCTGTCTCTGCAGCAAAAATGCATTTATTTAAAGATGAAATTCGTTTTTTAGGGCATGATATTGTCAAAAACACTATTAGACCTATTACAAGAAGTTTGCAATTTTTCTACTAAATTTTCTGATGAAATTAAGGATAAAAAGCAACTTCAAAGATTTTTAGGATGCTTAAATTATATCCATGATTTTTTCAAAGATTTAGGGATTATATGTAAACCACTTTATAACAGATTAAAAGATAATCCTGAACCATGGACTCAAAAACATACAGATATAATTAAATATATAAAACAAAAGGTTCCTACTTTGCCATGTTTAAATTTACCTCATCCCAATGCCAATATCATAGTTGAAACCGATGCTAGTGATATTGGATTCGGAGGAATTCTAAAACAAAAATTTGTTAATTCAAAAGAAGAACAATTGGTTCGATATTACTCTGGTGAATGGAATGATACACAAAAAAATTATTCAACTGTCAAAAAAGAAATTTTAAGCATTTTTTTATGTATTAAAAAATTTGAAGATGATTTATTTATGAAAAGTTTTTTATTAAGAATAGATTGTCAATCTGCAAAACTATTTTAGAAAAGGATGTGAAAATATATTATTTCCAAACAAATTTTTGCTCGATGGCAAGCCCTTTTAGGAAACTTTGATTTCGAAATAGAATTCATAAAAGGCGAAAATAATTCGCTTCCTGACTTTCTTTCTCGGGAATTTTTGCAGGGAAAATGAGTTCATCGTCCTCTTCCAAACATGATGACAAGAAACCCGTCTATCAAAAGCTGTTCCATTTCAAAATCAAAATCGTTTTTCTCCTTTAACCCCTACTTCTAAGAATTCACAACTTTATTCTAATATCCTTCAATCAAAACTTGTTACTCCAAAAGGTACTTCAACAAACACGATAAGCCCTTTTGTAAGACCTTTTACTCCTCAAACTCAAAATTCTGTGACTCCTAGCCCTCCTACAAAAACTCCTATGTTCTTAATCCAAATTTCTTAAGAGTTCAAATTCTTGAAGATTTTCAAATCCATAAGTTACATCAAGGTTTTCATATTCTCACAAATCATCTTTTTGGTCAAGGGAAAACCTTTTATGTTGATTCATATAAAACTCGAGAATATTATCAAGCTATTTGCAAGAGTCTGGTTCGGTCAATTTTGTTCATCGTTCTAATTCAAAAGAAGGAAACATTGATTTTAGCAAAGCTCACATCATCAAAATCATTTCTCCAGAAAGTTGGGTTCCAAACCTTCATTCTGAAAAACCTCTTATAAGTTATCCTGCTTATCCCAGATTTTCTAACTATGATTATCAAGATGCCTGGACTAAGGCGTTCTTTATTCGAAATTATTCACACTCATGGTTTATCTTCTTTGATTTAAACTTCAATTGTGAATACCCAAGATGGTTTATCAATTGGTATAAATATATGGGAATTCTTCCAAATTGTTTACCAAAAGAAATTTACGATGGATATCTCAAATTTAAGGAATTGTTTATTCAACAAATTCCAGAATTTGAATATATGCTACAATTCACTATGATATTCAGAGTTCCATGGATAATGTCTTGGACTTTTCATTATATGATATTCAGAGTTCCAGAATTTGAATATATGCTACAAATTTAAGGAATTGTTTATTCAACAAATCCTTCAATGTAGGGTATTTCGTTTCTTCTATTTATCAAATTCATTATTTTCAAATACGAGTGTGTATATACTGTGTGATTATACACTATATGTATTTATAGTGTATAAAACAAAACAAATATTATCAAATTTATTATCAAAATTATTTGTTCTCATCATCAATAATTATATGAAGACAAAAAACTTTACAAGATGCTCTATGATGGATAATATGAAGACAAAAAACTTTAGAAGATGCTCTATGAAGACATGCTTTATCAAAAGGTGATATTTATTGATTACAAACGACAATTTCTTCAAAGATGAAAGTGACAACCACTTTAAAAATATTGATTGGCCATTGAATCTTACGGCAAGATTTCACTACAAGATTTCAAGGTTTTGAAGACTTCAAAGGAATATAAATAGACATCATGTGTTAGTAGAAGAAAGCAGACAAAAATATTCATTCTCTAAAAAATGTTCATTCTATGTCTAAAAAATCTTCAAGAGTCTCTCTTTCTACTAGCAGATGTTCAAAGTCTCTAGATTTTCAGATAATTCTTTCTCCAGATGTATGTACTGATTGTAATTCAAGCTTAATTCAAGAAGGTATTATCTAAAATATTTTATTCAATTGTTGTATTGCTTCTATTTCTCCATGATAATTTCATTTCGAGTTGTTCTAACCATTAATTCTACAAGATTTGAAATATTTGTTAAAATAGTAGTCGTTTTTAATAATCAAATTAATCAAATTCATGCTTGAATTATTTAAATATGTCTAACAAAATCTTGATGAATTGTATTCCTAATAAAGATATTCTTGTAAGAATACAACAAATCCAAGAATCTATAAATAATTCTGAGCAAAATCTCAAGGATTCTTACAAACCTAATAATCTAGGTACGATTTTAAACAATAATCATATTCATGATGTTAGACAGTTCATAAGAGCTAGTATTAAAATTCGTTACAAGCAAATACGTTATCTAAAACAAAACTATTTGTATTTTAATATGAAATTCTATGTCTTTTAACTGTAAGAAAATATATATATATATATATATATATAAAAGTTTGTGATATGCATCAAGTCTACTTTAAAATGTGATAACCTTAATTCGTGTTCATACTTGCTTTTCAAAGTGGGGGTGGCGGAAACATTACTCCAACACATTTATTTGCTTTTTGTTTCCATTTTTTTATTTTTAAATAAGAAAGAAACAAAAAACAAGTTAGTGGTCATCTTTATGTAATATAAGAAAAATAAGAAATTATTATACCAAATGGTTAAAAAAAATATTACACTTATTAATAATATTATAAAAGTATATTGCTTTTTCTAACTAATCTAAAAATAAAATAATCATATTAAACATTAAAAAGGAATAAACATAACAAAATATAATTTCTACAAAAATACATATTATCATTAATATTTTCTTGAAACGTTGTGTATAAGTGAGAGAAGAGGGTCTTGAAATCTAATCCAGGAAGAAGGGTGTTCTTCTTTCTCCCCTTTGGATTTCTTGCCTTCAACTCACTGCTTTGGTTTGTAACAATCTTCACCATTCTTCAATTTAGTTTATTTCATGATCTTCTTATAAATCCTTTTGTTTTGGAAATAGAAAACTAGAAGAAGAATTGTAATCCATGGAACAAGAACAGCTTGGGACTTCTCCTTCTTCTTCTTCGACTTCAATGAGATCAATTGATGATAAGAATGAAGGGAAAATCAAACAATCAGCAGACTCAAGATTCCCATTAACGGTTCTCGAAATGGCCGGTGCATCCGGCGTCGTTTTGTGCTTCGTCGTTGGTCTCGCTGGAGTTTACCTAACATTGCCGGATTCCGATTACAGCTTCCTCAAGCTTCCAAGAACCATCGAAGATCTTCATATTCTCCGGTATTCGATTTCCCACATACCCTTTACTTAATCACCATTAAAACCTGGATCTACTGTATTATTCATAATGGGGTTCACCCAAGATTTAATATTTTTCCTTAAACTTACGATGCTACTAGTTTGTTATGAATTGCAATCTTGTTACTTTTATTCTCGTCTTAATTGCTAGTATCTCCCCAATCACCTGTAAAGATTTTTCACATTGATCGATCTCTAGTCATATTTGGGGGTTTCAAAAATGGGTGTTCAATTGTCAATTAGATCAAAGTTCTTCACTTGAAAACACCTTATATCTGCATATCCATGGCAATTTGATCACAATTCTAGTGTGTGTTTCTGAAAGTACATTCCCTTTTCATGACAGGGAGCATCTCGAGAGCTACACAAGCGACTACACAATGCAAGTCCTTGTTGGATATTGCACAGTCTACATCTTCATGCAAACATTCATGATTCCAGGAACTGTGTTCATGTCATTACTTGCAGGATCCCTTTTTGGTGTCTTAAAAGGTGTAGCTTTGGTTGTCTTTGCTGCAACTGCTGGTGCTTCTTCTTGCTACTTTCTATCAAAATTAATCGGGCGACCCTTAATCTCATCTCTCTGGCCTGATAAACTTGTTTTCTTCCAAAACCAGGTGAGGACAAAATAGTCAATTTCAAATTTTCAACTCTCGATGTTATCATCTTATATGATGTTCTGTTCTTCTTTCCATATAATATATACTCAGGTGGCAAAAAGACGAGGTGGGCTTCTCAATTACATGCTTTTCTTAAGGGTGACACCAACTTTGCCAAATACGTTTATTAATGTCGCATCACCAATTGTTGATGTTCCATATCATATATTCTTCTTGGCAACTTCACTTGGTCTCATTCCAGCAGCTTATGTAACTGTTCGGGTAATTTTTCTTTTCTTTCTTTAATTGTCTTAAACTTTGTAAGATTTGTTGTTTTATGAGTGTGAGTTGTAATTTGTAAATGTGTTTTTTTTATATTCGTAGGCTGGAATTGCTCTTGGTGAATTGAGGTCGATTGGGGACTTGTATGACATGCATTCTATAGGGACTTTGTTTCTGATAGGGCTTGTTTCCATTACACCTACATTGATAAGCAACAAGAACAAAGCATAGTGTTTCCTTGTGGTGTCTTTCTTGGAAGTGTGTACAGATCTAGCATCAAATTGGAACCCGGTTCATGTTTAAAAGACTTGTGTTTTGTGTAGTGATGTTAAAGATAAACTCTGCAATGCAGTTTAGTTTTTTTTTTTTTATTAGCAATTGTCTGGATAATTACGTGTTTAAATCTTCTGCTGTTGGAAACTTTTAACTTTTAATCGTAGATGCAAAACATTTTGACAATCTTTTGTACACATTCATAGGATCATGACGCATACATAGAAAGAGTATAGAGGTATGCTTCCTATTATATTATATCGGCTGTTCTTATTACTATCAACAAGTGGTATGCAAGCATTTCAGAGTTTCTTGATTTTCGTAGCATCTCTCGTATTTGGGTTCTTCATTAAAATAGCAACTATGATATTTGAATTCCTTTGTTAGATAGGACTACAAAATTTATTTTATGGCACGTAAAGATGAAAGACATTTTCATTAAATGTGATCAACATAGTTTTGTTCGGTGGTCTATTGAACAAAAGTAAATGAAGGATTTGAAAGTATCCTATCAAATTCTTTGCATTTATGTAACGAGATTTTGCAAGACGTTTTGAAGATAACGCAATAATTATATGGTTGAAGCAAGAGGAATTATGTGTGCCCAAGAGTCCCTAAACAAGTTGTATCTAAAGGGATATTTATATTCTCATGTCGTTTTATCGAAAATGGTCCTTATTATGATCATGACTTGAATTGAGATTTTTATGGATTTGGAAACATGGATGTCCAAATATGATGGTTACAATATCATGTCGTTTTATTGAAAATGGTCTCTATTATCGAAAATAAGTTGATTTTTTTATGTAATTTGTCATTATTTTATTCAATTTTTCAGGATATTATCTTATATAGTTGTGATTCTTAGATCAGGCGTATGCATCTTTCGGTTACAAATAAAAGATGGGACTAGATATTGTTGATGGAGATTGTAAAACTGAAGGCATTAATGTAAGCGGCAAATGTAATGATAGGGCTTCAAGGATTCTTGGAGAATTCGGATCGTATTTCAAGGGCAAAAGAAAGTTTAGCAACCATGGTAAGATTAATGGACATTCTATTAACGAGTGATTCATACTACAAAATAAGGACAAACTCGTTGATATGGGTATGCAACCCTTGAAATTGGGCCAAGACGGTGAACATGGAAAACCAAAGTTATTCACTTGAACCTTCAAAACACTTTTTTGTTTTCTTTCTGGAAATTAACGTCAACTACGGTGGTACGTGTAAATCTTGTATGTGTATTTTTGTCTTTATACAGCTACAGGGATGTAATCTCATTAGGATGGTGTAAGAAGGGATAGATAGATATCTTTGGTTATTCCTTTACCTAGGGCAAAGCGATTATGTGCATGGATGACCTTCAGCATATGTAATGGGAATTTGTAATAGGTCATATAAGACGTATGCAAGTTATAGAATAATATATAGAAAAAACATTAACAAAAGAAAATACACACAGTGAACAGGTGGATAAAAAGGGAACGTAGCCGAGTAAAATGGCAGGAGAAGCAAGTAACAAAGAACATTCTAAATGAGAAAGAAGAAGAAAACAAGGGGCATGTATACAAAAAGATCCAATAGTGCGCCTCCACACCTTCCTATATGAGGTTATGCCTTTGGAAGCGCCAGCTTCTTTCTATATAATCTCACGATATCTTCTTACTTCCTTCTTTGGTGTCCTCTCTTCGTCGTCTCATGCACTATGATCGACTCCACCTTTCTAACCACCTTCGTTGGTAGCTTTGGACATGTCCAAAAGTGTTTCTTCTCTCAACGTTTTTGATGATTGGTATCACTTCCAACGTATTTCTAATTGTCATATTTGAATTCTTATCAAAAAAAAATGTCCCGCATGTACCTCAACATCCTTATTTATGCTATTTACATCTTCTTTACATGCTCCTTACTCAGACAACATTTAGATCCATACATCGTAGTCGGTCTAACTTCCACCTTGAAAATATTAACTTTCATTTTAACCGGGACCCTCTTATCACACAAGACTTATATGGTCTATTTCCATTTTAACCAACCTGTCTTCATGTGGTGGATAACGCCAACCTCCACTCCCTCTCCTTTACATATCAACTCCCCCATGTATTTGAAATTCTCATTTGAATGTGGAACTTGATCCTAATACATACATATACTCTATCGTTCATCTCCATATTGAATTGCACCATAAATACTCTATCTGAGCAGTGTTGATTAGTAACCTCTTCCCTTCCATTGTTATTCTCATAATATCCAACCTAACATTCAACTCAGTCCCATCAATGACCAATATAATATCATTTACAAAAAGAATACACCAAGGCGCATCCCACTAAATATCACTAGACATCTCGTCCAAGATCTGAACAAAGATATACAAGTTGATGAAGCCCAATTTTCATCATGAAATACTATATGACACTTATTAGGGTCTAGAAACAAGTCGTAGACCAACAATACAATAATACATGTCATGAACCGGCATGGCATAACTATGTAGACACTTGTAGTTTCCAAGGTCCTCTAATTTTCTTCCTAGATATGTTATCATAGGCATTATTCAATTTTATTAACACCATTTCGATATCCTTAATATTTTTCTTTATATTTCTCTATTAGCCATATAAGGAGGTGGATCGTCTTAGTCATTAACCTTGCTGGCATGAAACTAAATTTTTTTTCTAAAATGATCATAATGTGGTTTAAATTGGCCTCTAGAACTCTCTCATATAGATTTCATGGTATACCTAAGTAACTTAATACCTTTATAGTTTTGTAGGTTTAGACATCTCATTTGTTCCTATATATCGACATCATAGTGCTAAATCTATGCTCCCCGGTAATCTTGGTTATGTCTAATATGATGTTAAAAAGGTTCGTCACCACCTAACTATCTCTTCCCTAATTCATTGCCATGTATTAAGAGTATTTAGATATGCCCCTATGGATTTGTTTCTCCATATCCTCTTTATATACACGTTCACTTCCATACTACTAATCATCTTCCATGAACCCTTATTGACAATTTAGCTATTCCCTACAAATCCCTTAACATTCATATCCATGTCCCTCATGGTCAGAGTTCCCTCGTTAAATAAATAATAAAAATGGATAACATACTTCCTCCTAGTCTCTTCATCATCTACTAAAATTTGGGCGTTGTTGTCTGTCACACCCCAAAACTGGAACGGCGGAAACGTTCGGGGGCGGAGGACGTCATGTACAGTATCACAACAATGCATAATAGTAAACAAGCAAGAACATCATCCATTGCATTAATAGAAATAATTTTAATACAAGTGTGTTCTGAAGTTTATAAGACACCAAAATGTATAATCAAAATAAAAGATGAGTCTGAAATGTGCTCCATCTTCTCAGAACCTGGTCATCGGTACCTGTCTACTGGCGACCTGAGAATACAAGTTATTTTGAAAGCGTAGATCAGCATTAAAGCTGGTGAGTTCATAAGTATTTTAGTGTCATAGTTTGTATAAGTTTGAAGAATGTAATTGTAAATGTTTGATGTAAAAGTTTGTAAGTATTTGATGTAAATGTTTGTAAACTTCCTAGAAAATCCTATATTTTCTACTAAAGTAGTCTTCTACCAAGACTCAACTGTTCTCTTTGTTTGTTCTTTTGTAAAAGTGTGAGTTTTCCCAAAGTATGACTATCATTACCAAAATATAGGTTCTCATTACCGTTTATGTGAGAAGATCACAATGTGAATGAATTGGGAAAAATAAAGATGTACTGTAGTTTTATCTAGGTAACTACTAATGTACTAACTACCTTTAAACTTGTTAGTTAATTAAGGTAAAATGGGATATGATTGTAACCATACTCGATTGACCAGTAAAACACGATGTTCGAGACGTCGAAATGATATGACATTCGTCACCCGCAGACCTGCAGGTCCCACTGTAGCTAGCAGCAAGGTGTAGGAGGGTCAGTCCCGTATAGATCTATACACAAATTCACGATCTCCCTCCAGGAGACTCTGGATACAAAACGTGACACAGCAGTATATGTCGAGTCATGAAGTAGTATCTCACATTAATGTTATAGTATTCTTGTATTTGTATAGTATGTACTAGTGTAGTGTATGTTCTCTCTGTCTAGTATGTAGTATGTTCTTTAGTGTATAGTGTGTAGTATGTGTTGATTCTCGTTATAGTATGCTCTATCTGTTTCTCTTTATAGTGAGTATTGTTTCTCGTTATAGTATTCTCTATCCGTTTCTCTTTATAGTGAGTATTGTTTCTCGTTATAGTATTCTCTATCTGTTTCTCTTTATAGTGAGTATTGTTTCTCGTTATAGTATGTATTGACTCATGTATGAACTGACTCGTTGTATGTTTCGTTGTTCTAGTAATAGTATTAGTGACTTCCTAAACTATACCCATTATAGTTTACTAGCAGTGTTGTTAGTAAGATTTGTTGTTTTATGAGTGTGAGTTGTAATTTGTAAATGTGTTTTTTTATATTCGTAGGCTGGAATTGCTCTTGGTGAATTGAGGTCGATTGGGGACTTGTATGACATGCATTCTATAGGGACTTTGTTTCTGATAGGGCTTGTTTCCATTACACCTACATTGATAAGCAACAAGAACAAAGCATAGTGTTTCCTTGTGGTGTCTTTCTTGGAAGTGTGTACAGATCTAGCATCAAATTGGAACCCGGTTCATGTTTAAAAGACTTGTGTTTTGTGTAGTGATGTTAAAGATAAACTCTGCAATGCATTTTAGTTTTTTTTTTTATTAGCAATTGTCTGGATAATTACGTGTTTAAATCTTCTGCTGTTGGAAACTTTTAACTTTTAATCGTAGATGCAAAACATTGTGACAATCTTTTGTACACATTCATAGGATCATGACGCATTTATCAACAAGTGGTATACAAGCATTTCAGAGTTTATTGATTTTAGTAGCATCTCTCGTATTTGGGTTCTTCATTAAAATAGCAACTATGATATTTGAATTCCTTTGTTAGATAGGACTACAAAATTTCTTTTATGGCATGTAAAGATGAAAGACATTTTCATTAAATGTGATCAACATAGTTTTGTTCGGTTTTGAG